AGACATATTATGGCTTAGCATAAGGTCTATTGTGGAGAGTGTTCCACATGTGCTTTAGAACATTGTAATTCTGTTGTTAGGTGGAGTGTTTTATACATAGTTTTTAGTTCTAGTTGGTTTAGAGTGCTGTTCAAGTCTTCTATATCCTTGTTGATTTTCCACCTAGTTGTTCTATCCATTAGTGAAAGTAGAGTATTGAAGTCCCAACTATTGTTGTTGAATTGTCTGTCTCTCTTCAATTCTGTCAGTTCTTGCTTCACATATAGCTTTGGGCTATGTTGTTAGATTCATATATGTTTATGATTGCTTTGTCTTCTTGATTAATTGGCTGTTTTATCATTATAAAATGTCCTTCTTTATCTCTAGTAACAGTTTTTGTCTTAAAGTCCATCTTGTCTACTATTTGTGTGACTACTCTAGTTCTCATGGTTGCTGTTTGCATGGCGTTTCTTTTTTTGTCCCTTGCCCTTTAAACTCTTAATATCTTTGAAACTAAAGTCTATCTCCTGTAGACAACATATAATTAGACTTTGTGTTTTGTTTTTACCCAGTCTCACAATCTCTGCCTTTTGATTTGATTATTTAATCCATTTGCATATGATGTTATTGTTGATATGCTTGGATTTACATCTACCATTTAAGGTAAATCTCCTGGCTGCATCTCTACTACCCATGAAAGGTGATTTGAAATCACATGTGGAAGCATGGAGCAATCATGACCATTTTGTTCCTCTGTTCCTCCTTTATTTCAAAATTTATTTTTGTAAATGGTCTGAGATAGAGGTTTACATCCAGATGGTTAGCTATGTTAGTACTATTTTTAAAAATTGTCCTTTTCTACTGAATTTTAATACCTTCTGTTGTCATATATATTGTTTCCATATATAGCTGGATATACTTATGAAATTTATATTATGTTCTACCCATTATCTATCTTCTCTTGTGTCAATACCTGTTGTTTTATTTTAGTAACTTAATGGTAAATTTCAAAATGTGGTTTGGCAAGTCCTTTATTTCCCTTCTTTTCAAATAATTGTTCATGTGAATCTTGACATTCAAAAGAAAACACGATTTGTAATCCTTTTAAAACTTCACAAAATGCTCACATACACACGTATATATCTATCCTTATACATACATTTACTCTCTGGTAACGTGGTATGTGTGAATTTAAGTAATTCATTTAAAGTGAAAACTGGTAAATTATAACATCATACATTAAAATGAAACAGAACAAGATGTTTTATGTAATTTTCACCTAATGTTTTCTTAACATAGGATGAATATTCTAGAAATCAATGCCATCAGGGTATTAAAAGAGAGAATAATTTCACAAAAAACCGACCTCACTCATGCTTTTCAGCTTCAAGACCACGGAAAATCAGGTAATAAAATTATGTAACACCTACCATTTCTTAACATAGCGGGTTACACACAGATCAGTTTTCTTTCTTTTTTCTTTCTTTCTTTTTTTTTTTTGATTCCTTAGGGTTTCAGTTCTCCATTTTTGCTAGAAAGGAATGATAGAGATAAAAATAAAATATAATCCATTATTTGCTTAAAAAACCAACAATAACTCTGAATTAGACTTCTATTCTGGTAGTATGTTTAGACTAGGCACTCTGGAGGGCCTTCCTATTAATAAACAGCTAGATTCTGGAGAATGAAGAATTTTAAGGCATTTCTGAGTTGTAAAGAAAGGTAAATCTCCTGGCCGTATCTCCACTCCCCATGAAAGATGATTTAAAACCACATGTGGATGCATAGAGCAACAAGCAAGCACAAAAGGCTAGATAAAATGGACAAATTCCTAAAATATATATGTGTACACATACCCACTTACAAAAAATGACATAAAAACAAGTAGAAAATCTGAACACTCTTATAACTATTAAAGAAATTGGATATGAAATTTTGAAACTTCACAAAAAAAATCTCTATGTTAAGACTTATTTATTATTTATT